AGATAGATAGATAGATAGATAGATAGATAGATAGATAGATAGATAGATAGATCAAAGTGGTTTCACTAAAACCTTTGCTTCAAATTGCTATATCTTGCACTCCATTTTGATTTCAACCTAGCTTGTAATTCCATCAAATTCTTGAGAATCCATATCATGGGTGGTGTTGCTTCTTGAGAAACAACCTCGTTGTCTTCTTGGAAACCTTCAGAATTTTGGAAAGAGACTTCAAGGATAAGCATAATGGAGCCTTTTTTTTTTTTTTTTTGCTTTCCAATATAGAGGAAAACTGAGATCTGTAAGTACATTTTCCAAGCAGCCTTGCTGCTTCTACGAAAATAGATAATTTAATCTCTGTCATTGGCCTGTCTCTGTCAAAGAGAACAATGGATAGTCTATTCACAATGAATAACTATATGGAAATTAATATTAGTAAAGGGTGTCCATTTAGTGTCTCACCTTTAGTGCTAAAGGTGACAAAAATGATGGATGTCTCCCAGACAATGGATTTATCTTTAAAATGGGGTAATTACACACTGGATGCATGGGTGACATAATGACATTGTGGTTTTATATTAATAAAAAGAAGCAATGTCCCTCCTCGTAGCTGAAAAAGTGGTCAACCAGGACATAGCAGATTCTGATTTCTGCTAACCACAGTAAAACAGCAACAGCCGCGAGTCACGAGCCAACGAATGTGTTAAAGAGATTGGCTTTAATGGTGTCATCACCGAAGTCCTTACCATTAGGTCATTTCCAGGGTGGGATGGACCTTGAGTCTTTTAGTTTGTTGTTTACAAAATTGTAGAAAGCGTGGGTGGAATTGGTGCGTAGAAGGAAACATTGATCTTGGAGTACTCATCTCTAATGATCTAAGTGCTAGAGCCCATTGTAACTACATAGCCAAAAAGGCAATAAGAAAATATTGAACGGAAAGAGAGGGTTTTTTTTGAGAATTATAGCAGTTATAGCATTTGCCATTTAGAACTAATATTTTTGGTCTGCATGAGAGTGGATTTCCCCCCCCAAATTTTTTTATCTTCTAACAATCTTTCTTAGGGTTAGTAAGAAGGCAGATCTTTTCATCATTAACAAAGAAGCTTAAAGTTGGCGGTTGAAACAACAGATCCCTGAATTTCTATCAGTCTGAGAATCAACTATTACCATTGAGTGGCAGAACACATGTTTTGCAAGAAAAATCCCCTGGCTTTAGTATTAGTATCCCCTATTAAAATAGGATTTGGTTATGGCTTGTATATATTCACAAGAACCCAGGGCAGTTTGCCATAAATTTGAAAGCTGTTTTGTTTCTTAGGGATTCTTGTAAGATTATTTTCTGACATCAGAAAAGATTGTTGATAGCTTATGAAAAAGATCACAGATTGTAGCATTTTCTAGAAAGTCATTGTCAGAACATGATTTATTTTAAAAAGAAGAAGAACCTAAATCCCTGACCATTAAGAAATCTTTAAACAGAAAATGACATCAAGTATCAATAATGTCCCAGAAAATTAGAAACCAATAAAGCAAATCTATACTGAAAATATTAAACAATGGGTTGGTACAAGTTTAAGATGCTTAGGCCATCAGTCAGAAACAGCCATAAGCTCAAATCTTATTCGCCACTTTTCAAAAGTGTGAGATGCTTTTTCACACTCCTGAAAATAAATCTAAAATGAAGATCACCCCAAAGGCATGTTTACAAAAGGCAGCTGGGTTTTCTTTCTTTTTCCTTGGAGATGTTTCACTTCTCATCCAAGAAGCTTCGTCGGTTCTTCCTTCAGAGCTGAAGAAGCCTCTTGGAAAAGAAGCGAAACGTCTTCAAGGAAAAACAAAGAAAGTCCAAGTTGCCTTTTGAAAAAGCACCTTGAAAAAGCACCATGATAGATGATGACTGAGAATCTCCATAGACATCTCAAATGAATTTAACTGATAGTAATGCTAAATTTGAGGAACTTTGGCCTTGGTTCTGACTGAAGTGATATGGACTGCAAAATGGATTGTCTTCAACAGAAGTTCTAACAATATTGCATGGAGTTTGGTTTGTGCGGAGGAAAGAAGAAACAAAAAAGAGATGACTAGAGAAAAAGTTTAATCCATTATATTAATCGAAGAGAAAAATTTAAAAGAACCCATTTAATTTAAGAGAACCTAGACAAAATAAAGTGCACCATTGCTGGAGGTTTTCAAGAAGAGATGAGACAGCCTCTGCCTGGAATGATACAGGGTCTCCTACTTGAGTAGGGAGTTGGGCTAGAACAGTGGTCACCAGCCAGTCGGCCAGGAACCACTGGTGGTCCATGAGAAAATTTTGGTGGTCCACAGAGAAATGTCACCCCCCCAAAGCAATTAATCCAGGTTGCATGGGAACACAAGGCTGCACCGCCCACATGGCCTGCGGAAACACAAGGCTTGCGTTGCTTGCATTGCAAACATCATGAGATAGTGAGGGGAGGGGGGAAAGGGTGGAGTGAGGGACTTGCCCCACTCACCCCACCCGCCTGGCCTGGCCACCAGGCTGCTCCTTTACGCTTCTTCCTTCTTCTGCTTTTGGCTGCATGAAAGGAAAGTAGCAAAAGTCTTTCTTTCTCTCTCCCAAACTCCACCAGAATAATCTTTGGGACCCTGCAAGGCCTCCTGCCCCAAGAGGCTGCACTGGTGCAACAAGTTACACAAAGACTCATTTCTGGCAGAGTTTGGGGGAGAGAAAGAAAGATTTATGCTGCTTCTGCTGCTTTCCTTGCATGAAGACAAAAGTCTCTCTCTCTCTCTCTCTCTCTCCCTCCCTCCTTGAGAACAGAACTGGAGACGGTATCCTGCAATCCCAAATAAAGAATGATCGATCGGTAGGAAAATGGGGTGGGGGATGTTCCTGCAGACTTTTGGGGGGGATTTTCCCAGGGTCTCTGGTCGGTTGGATTTAAAATGATGAGTTTGGTGGTCCCTGAGGTCCAAAAGGTTGGCAATTCCTGGACTAGAAGACCTCTAAGGTCCCACCCAACCTTATTATTCTATGTTCTATAATCTAATAAACTCTTTTTATTCTGTTGTTTATTCTGTTATATTCTATATTCTGTTTTATGCTTTTTATTATGCTCCAGATACATAAGCCTAAAACTGAAGCACAAGAAGGACTTAAAGGAAACTGCCTAGACAGGCCATGAACTCAGCTTGTCTTCTGTTTGGGTGAGGTAAGATTGTGGGAATAATAACACAGACTTCATGTCAACTGATGCTGACACACAACAGGAAGACTCCTAGGCAACTGGTGGAATAGCAGTGTGACGCTTCCGGGTACAAAACTCTAGAAATTCTTATAATACATGTTGATGTTTATCATGCATCATTGACCATGCTCATTACAACGCAAGGGTAGCTTGGAGAGAGAAAAAAAAGGGGGATTTCTTTTTTGAAATTTCATGGAACAAAAAAGGCAAAAAAAATAATAATCCCCCAACTTGCAATAGGAAGATATAAAGAACCTAATTCAACGGATTGCTCTAAAAGTAGCAACACTTTGCCATATGACCATTGCCCATAAATGGTTGCTAATGGATCTTGCTGTTGTGAGATATGTTGTGTGTTATTCATTTTACTGTTTGTGTTTGTATTGGTCAATGGGTAAAATAAAGCTGTCCCTGACTTGCAATTAATTAAAAAATTTTAAAGGGTTTATCGGGTACATTAGTTTGGTGAACATGGCTTATTCTTAGTTCTTTTGGGGGGAAGAAGGCAAATTGATAGGATTCTAGTTGGTAATCATGAATGGTTTCTTGTCTGACTTTTGCACTTGCATTGATGTTTTTAGTGGCAGTACATAGAGCATGGTATTCCTTCATTCATTCATGGGTGCATTATTACATTATTATCAGTCTTGTCTTATTAAGACTCTATTCAACTCCTGTTAGTTGGTAACAGGAGATGAATAGAGTCTTAGTAAGACAAGCCCATTTCCTTCTCCCCTTTCCCATTTCCTTCCCTCTCTCTCTCTCTCAACTACGGAAATAACCCACCACAGGACTCCATGCTCATTGGCAACCTGGAGGCCAACAGAGTGCAAATTTTATGCAAAAGGCAAAACATCTGGCATTCTCATTTACCCAGAACTGGGAGTTCAAATCTATCTCCATATGTGGAAAAAGCAAAATGTCCCAACATCCTGTTCTTCTTTGTACATTGCAACAGAGGACAAAGAGGCATATTTATATAGGTACTCAACTTCCTTTCATTCATCAGTTCCCGCAGAGAACTGTGGGGTGATGGATACCCATTCACTTTCTTTTAGACTCTGAATATAATAAGACTAAGGGAAAGTTACTCAGTTGAAAAGGGAAATTATTACCTTAACTCACTTCTCTATCCAACTCACTGGGTTGAATTTTTTTTTTTTGAAGATTACATCAGTTATATGCACCTTTATACTTTTCATGAGTTGCATGGAAACTTTGAACCCAATGTAATGGCTTCTTGAATTCTGATATATGGCCCTAGGGAATTCTAGGGTTTCAGTCTCAGCATTTTTGGAAGTCATCAGACTAAAGAACATTGGGTGTTCCACTTGGCAAGAATGTGTGAACAAACTATGTAGAGATGAAGTCTATAGAACCATAGCTGGGGAGAGTCACCGAATCCAACTTTATGGCTAGCACAGTTCATACTTGAGGGATGATGGACAATTTAACCAAGAAGACCTCTCAAAAGGGTGTAGCTTTCATGGTTAATTTGTGGTTGGAATTGGGTCACGTTACCGAATTCAGAGATGACTTCTAAAGATTCAAGTATTTATTGGCAAGCGTGCTAGTGTGCATAAGATCTATTAGATCATTGGAAAAACAATTGCTGTATTCTTGTTACTGGAGGGAAGAATCTGGGTCAAAAGATACATTTTGGATATGTACCAATTCTTCAATGATTAAGGACTCTGTGCTGAAAATAAAAAAAATAAATAAATGGAAGAGTGAAAGAGTGAAAGAGGAAAATAAATCTCAGGGACAAGAACGCCCTTCATTCAGTGTCTCCTTTCATCTGGCTGCTTACAGCCTCCATCTTTGCCATTGTTATATATTACAAAACACGTCTCCTGTAAACTAAAAAGGGATTCTGTTAAATTGTTATAATGTACTGCTCTGGATTATAACTTGATACAAAATTCAAGTTATTTATATGTATTTTCAGCTGAAAACATCCTGTCTGGATTTCCAATATGATAAGATTAAATCTTGCTAAGACATAATAGTACAGATGGTCAGGCCGGAAAAATTAGGCAAATATGAAAGAAAAGAATATTATATTCTTTTTGTGCGATGAAAAAAATATGATTTATCTTCCAAGGAGATTATAACCAGAGTTATTAGAACCAAGAAAATCTGATCTTGCAGGAGCAATCATTATTTTAACTCAAATTTTTGTTTAGCCTTCAAAGCACGTGCCTCACTTAGCTAAAGGTTGAACAAGAAGCCTCAACCCAGGGAAAGATGTGTGACCATCACCTCCACTAAAGTTTAAAGTTTTATTCATTGATTCAGTTGTGGGGGCAAACACATTATTATCTCTGTAACCTCCTGCAAGATTAATATAATACTCAGTAGACTGAGATATCCCTAAGAGCAAAAGATTTGTTTTGAATGAATTAACCAACAATCCATATGGATCAACATGGCCTTCTATTAAGATATGTTCAGTATCTTTAGAGGTCATAAGCAATATATGGTAGTAACAGACCCTTGCTAACACTTGACAATACATTCAATATAAAGGTTTTGGATTCTGATACCCTGTTTAAAAGGATTTGTTGAATTGGCTTTTAAGCCGACTGTGTCCATGATATGTCTTGTATTTTGAAGCATGAAGCAACAGTGCTGCTATGTTTTGAAACTTCAAAATGTTTCCTTCTGAAGTTCATTACCAGTTATTATTCCATATTCTGTATTTCACCCTAAGTCATCAGTGGGCACATCTGCTGGTCCATGTTCTACTTAAAATATAGTATGTTGCCCATAAGAAGATATGTATTTTATTGTTAATTCCAAAATCTTAGTAAAAGTCAATATCCCAAGTTTATCTGGATTCTGAACTCATAATCCATATAAGTTTTTAAATCAAAAACTTATTTAGCTTTTTTCTGTTTTACTTCAAATTCTTTCAAGTTCTTAAGCTTATAATTAATTGGGTTGTTTTTTTTGTTCAGAGTGAAAGATAAAACTCACCCAATGAGTTTTCAAAGTTATCATTCCAAAAGTCTCTAATAACTTTAGGGTGCTTAATAGGCATTTTCTGATAGTGAGATTTTTGGATTTAGGGTCCTTTAAAAGTCTCCGTTGCAGTTGTGACCAACATGGTTAATCTCAATGTCCCTTGGTGCTCAAACCCATGGAAAACCACTGTCCTGCAATCTCCTTGTGAGGACCAGCCATTTGGACCATATGTGGGCAATCTCTTATCCTTTCCTTATTCAGAGAGATTCCAAGGAAGTGGTCTATTAATAGGTTTCTTGGTCTTTGCTGAAGTTATTAGCTCCACTTGATTTTTGACCTTCTGCATGTAGGTCTCTGATAGTAGAGACAAGAATCAGAATTGTGCAACATGGAAGCCAACAATGATTACACCTGGAGACATGACAAATAGGAGAGATGTCTTCAGAACAGGATAAATGAAAATCATTCAGGATTTCCTCTAGTGGGAACAATGAAGAATAATGTGGCTCAAAGGAGCCATCTCCACAATAGGATAAGAGAGAGAAATGCATCCATCGTGGCATTTTTCAGGGCTGTGATAAATGAGAGATAGGTGGCTCCATACATATTGGAAAGTTGCCACTGCTGCAATCATCAAGTCCCCAAATATTGATGGGTCCAAAACCAAGAATTTAGTACTTCAATGCAAATTTGCATTCAGTTACACCATTTTGGAAGAAGTTGGAATAGTTTGTCTTCAGAAGTTGTGCGTGTTCCATCACTGGAAATTTTTAAGAAGAGATTGGACAGCAATTTGTCCAAAGTGGTATAGGGTATCCTGTTTGGGTAGAAGACCTCCAAGGTTCCTTCCAATCTGATATTCTGTATCTGACTAAACAAACATTTGAATTCATGACATTATCATCATGAACTAAGAAGAAATAAAGGCACTGAATAAAATTAAGCTCTGGATGCTTAGTAGATGTTGTCTTTCAGTTTGCGGGATGGAGGAAGATTGCCATTTGTTGACAACTCTTTGCAAGTGCTTTGGGGACCAGCATCCCAGCTGTATAGGCCAACCTTGATTTTTAAACTCTTCAGGGAAAGGATAGCATGAGATAGTGGTAGAAGTGTAGTGAGTCTAATTAACTGAAACCAACCAGCATCCCAATTTCCCAAGAGGCTAAACGACATTCAAAAACCACATTCATTTTCCAGAAAGATTAACCCCACCAGAGTCTGTTAGAATGGTATTTATCAACCATGCACTTTGATTTCAAAAGAGAATTGTGTTTGTGTGTGTTTGTCGAAAAGTGTGGGGGAGGGAGGAGGGAAAGAGTCACTCCCCTTTGGGTTGGGGAAACACCCCCCACCACATCTTTTGAGTTTATCCTCCAAGGCTTTCTGCAATGTCACATTTATATAACAAGGATGAATCCCAATTTAATTAAACTGCCCAGGGACTAAGTATCTGTGTTCAATATAATATTTGAAGAAGAGTGGAAAGGAGGGGCTCCATTTACATGGAAGGGGGGCTGTCATTCTGCCAAGCATCTGCCTCCATCGTCTCATCTGATTCGTAGGAACGAGCGACAATTTTTGCATTTTTGGAATTCGACAAAGATCACCCAGCTGCCAGTGTACTTTTCAGAGCTTAAAGACCAAATCAGGGTTTGAATTGCCTCCAACTTCCTTTTTGTCGCCCTTATTGTTACTGACAATGGAGTCAGAGTCACAAAGGCAGCCGGATTGCAAATGTAACCATGCGCCAGGCTTTTGAACATCCTCAGCAGCTGTTGTAACAGGAGTTCTTCAAACAAACAAACAAACAAACAAACAAACAAAAAATGAGAACAGTCACATACAGAGAGTATCGTTCCAAGCAACGCATGCAAAATCTGACCCATTTCAGAGTCGGTGAATGCAATTTTTTTTTTTTTTCGTATTTCTTCATGGCTAATGTGAAATTTGTATCCTGATGGGCTCTCAGAATCTAGGAAAAGAATTTGAATGTTTAGGCATAAAATGCTTCTGTACCTTATCTCTTGGGAGAAGAAGGAGCAGAAGTAAAGGGGTAATTGTGCTGCAGGATTATTTTCCATAGTTTTGGAAACAAGAGATGGCTATGTATTTATTTTGAAATCCCTGGGGCACTAAATGAAGTCCTCGGTTATCATACTGTCTAACGAGCACATTGGTGCTCTCTGAACTTGCAGAATTTCACTAGATATCATAGTGCAAGTGAGCGTGAGGTAATCTCGTCGATAATTCCTCCATTCGGGTATTGTTTTCTGCTTGATGGTTTGTCCGGTGTTAATCCTTGCTTATCTGGGAGCTGATAAAGATATGTTCTGATCTTGTTGGTTCCTTCGCCGCTTTTTTAATTGTCTCTTTTGAACAGTAGGTTAGTACGGTTTATATCTACCCACGGTGATTTTATTGGTACACAGAACTCAAAGAACATTTTTTCTGAATTATAATTTTTAACACGATAAGATCTTTTAAATACTTTGAATTTCGCAAAGGATGGTTTGGAATCTGCAACTCTTTAAACCAGCTTCAGCTTCTGCAGGGGAATTGCACAGACCTATTAAAGAGGTCACTCAAAGGGAAAGCATACTGATGACAATTCATTCAAATTAAAGAAAGGAAAAGAAATTCAGTTCATTCTTGTACACTGGCCAGAGTCACGTTCATTCTTGTGCACTTTTCGACAGATGGGCAGTTATACAAATTTGATCGATCAATCAATTTATCTATTTAAATCTACTTACACGGCACTTTTATCTCACACATTGATCCTAGGAGGATGATAGCAACCAGATCACTTCTGTA